GTATTTACAGCATCAGGAATACCAGAGGAACTTTTCGCACCCCTGATTCTATTATACGGTGTGTCTGTGTATGTTCGTATACATGTATGATTGTATACAGTATATACCTTCATACATACATATACTCAATGCTGGGTGAGGTTGAGTCTTTCCTTACAGCAATGAACTAAGTGTGTGTTTTGAGCGTTTGGTGTAGAACGGTACAGTGCTAAGAGGCCATGTGTGTTGCTGTACCTTAAGGACATCTGGGGGGGAATGGGGTGTACCGTCTGTAAACACATGTGTAACCATAAGTACTCATGTGTACTGTGTGGGGCATTGTGTACCGTATGAGCCATGTGTACCGTGTGCCCCATGTGTACCGTATCAACGTGTACAGTGTGCCCGTGTACCGTATGGGCCATTGTATACCATTCCAATGTATACCGTATAGACCATGTGTACCGTATGGGCCATGTGTACCATGAGTCGTGTAACGTAAGTGTCATGTACGTCCAACACGGGGTAGTGTCAACAAAATTCGCCATAATCTGCAAAATTATAAACATATAATGATAAAAAATATTAATAATTGCCCAAACGCTTTTACCATACTTCACCTTGGCGTCTATCATTACATGCTCCTCGTTAAGAACCTAAAATAAAATCCATTGCCTCTTTAACACTCAATAATAGGTTCTGATATTCTTAGGTAGATTAATAAGGTGGTTTAATCCTTGAGTATACGATGTTAAACCCCTTGAGGACGTGAGGTTAGTGTTTTGAGTGCGATGTTAATCCTTTGAGTACGATGAAATAGGTTTTTTGTGCCACAATGATTTAATCCTTTGAGTAGGATGTCTTAATCTCTTGAGTACAACGTCTTAGCGCCTTACAATACATTGATCATTTCCCCAGAATATAATGACATTGTACTCGAGGGGGGTTAAGTCATCATATTCCTGAAAGTTACTAAGAATACATAATTACTGTAACGTCATGCTAATTATACTAGTGGTCATATTAGCAATTAAATTACTCTGTAACCAAATTCGTTCTTAATTCCGAAAACTTCTCCCGGCAGCAAAAAACAAAGGGAAAAATGTCGTACCGCATCAGTATCTCTCTATGTTATTACAGTATATATTAAAATTGTTATAACTCCTACCCGAAATTATTACATAAATTATAACCGTTATAACACAAGGAGTAATTATAGATAGTGAAATTAAACGGGGATTTTTTTTTTACGAGACCAAATTCGAAAATATGTTCCAACTTTGAAATAATTTTACAGCTCGATATTTTTCATTATTATTATTATTATTATTATTATTATTATGTATTTTAATAACTTTTATGCATGCCAATTGACCTTTTTGGGATGGCATCTTTCTGGACTATTCATAGCTTTGTCCTGATAAACAGCTCAAAGCAATAATTCTGATTAGTTGTGTTAAAAGCTCATTACAAGTAGAAGATTATTTGCAGTTACACACATACATACATACATACACAGGCGACTCCACCTAACAAATCCATTTTTAGTAGGATTTAGTACAATGTTATGAGAATAAATCTAAAAGTTAATCCCTTAATATTCAATTATAAACAATGTCAACAAAGAAACACCTGCCAGCCTTAACAATTAAACCCAATTAACTGAACACATAAAACGCTATCGTGGTTTATTTCTCACAACTATTAATAACTAAACCGGCTCTTTTTTTTTCATTCCAAATTATCTAAAACGGTGTTCATAATAACGGTTGTTGAACAAAAGTTATTACGCGGAAGTGAACATTTATGTTAACTGGTCAAGATTTAAGATTGACCTATGCTGTTCTATGCTGTTCTATGCTGTTCTATGCTGTTCTATGCTGTTCTGTGTTGCGTTCCTGTTATGCTGTATCTTTTAGGCCTTCATTAGTTATAGTTCTCTGGGAAATTGTTTATATAACTCCCAGGGAAAAAAATATATAACTCTCAGGGAAAAAAATATATAACTCTCAGGGAAAAAAATTATATAACTCACAAGGAAATAATTTTAAGTAGTTATCTCAGGTAAATTATGTCAGGTAATTGCCTTAAATAGTTATCACAGGTTAATTACTCAGCTAAATATCTCAGGTAAATGTCTCAGTTTATCAGATTACAGTCTGTCTCAAAATTTGTCTCATCTCTGTCTCGGGGACTTCTCAGATCTAACTGTCCTAATCCACACTCCTAATTGTCTCGAAATCTTAAATCACTTTCATGGTATTTTAGTTTTGAAATTGAAATTGAAATATCTTATAGTATTTTAGTTAATGTATTTGTGTTATGAAGCATCGACTACGAACCAGTTTTATCCAGTGATTCGAAGCGTTTATGACTCACTCGCTGTCTCACGGAAAAGGAATTCGAAGCATAGGTATCTGAGATCGCTAGGAATCTATTTTAAGTACAGCATTGACAGCCGTACAGCAGGAAGCATCAGGGGCAGCAGCATAGAATCAGGACACAGATGTTAACCAAGGTAAATTAAACTCGTCTTGATCCGTCAGCCCAAGATGGATCACTGTACCCCCCCCCCAAAAGTGGATAAGTTCCCACTCCACTTCACCACACCCTACACACTCCCCTACTGCATCCACTCATCCACTCTCATCTCCGAATTCTACCTGTGGAGACCGTGTTGTTAATGACCTGACTCGTATACAGGTGTAAACAACGACAAATACCTGATTTACGTGTACCTTCAGAACGCAACGTAAACAGCCTCCTTACTTTTACTTTTATCCTCTTCGCCACTGATTGGCTCGTTAGCCGCTTGGGCGATCGGTCACGTCTCTGATTACTTTTCCTTTTCATTTATCTTCTTCACCAAAAGATCGACTCGCTAGCCGCCCGGGCGATCGGTCACGTCTCTGTCACGCACTGTTGGCAAATACTGGGCATGCACCGGTTCCTGAATGTACCTGAACCCGCTCCAGTGTTGGTCAAGTCTGGTCTTGAAAGAGCTCACACTCGGTGCCGTCACAACACTCTCTGGTAGATTGTTCCAAGAGTTTACAACCCTCACTCCGAAAAAGTTTACCCTCACAGTTTTCTGGACTTGCGGCTTCTTAAATCTTGAGCTGTGACTCCTTGTGGGGCGAGCGTCCTCCAGCTCCAAGTAAGGACACTCAACTGAGTAGTGCCCCCTGAGATGCTTATACACCTCAACTAGGTCCCCCCTTGCCCGTCTGTTGTATAAGCTAGGCAAGTTCAGGCGCTCCAATCTCTCAGGGTAGCTGAGGTCCCTAGCATATCTCGGGGACCAGATGGGGAAGCACTTCACTCCTGAAGATCGTTACGAGGGACGGACCGTCTAGATATCTGAACGACCTTCTTATAAGACCCAATAATTTATTTGCCTGGTTTACCTTCTTCTCGCAATGGCCCGAGAACTTCAGCTCATTGTCAACATACACACCTAGGTCCTTCTCACATTCAGTCTCAACTAGTGCAGTTTCTTCATCCCGCTGGGACATATGATACGCCTCCTTACCGTTGGTACGCCCCAGGTGCATCCTCTTATACTTCGTGACATTGAATCTCAGCAGCCATTTCTTCGACCATTCCTGGAGTCCACAGAGGTCCTTCTGCAGCTCTTCACAGTCCGCTTGGTTCTTAATTCCCCGAAATAACTTGGCGTCATCGGCAAACATTTGTATGGAGGAGTGTACAACGTCAGGCATGTCATTTATGAAACAAACAAACAACAGCGGGCCCAATACACTACCCTGCGGTACCCCATTTGTGACAGGTGCGAATGACGATTTCGTGCTATTAATCACCACACACTGCTTGCGGTCATGTAGAAAGTCTTCTATCCACGCGAGAACATTTCCCCGAATTCCGTACCCTTCCAGTTTATTGATAAGTCACATTCTATTGTTTACATTGTGAGAATAGTTCACTAAAACACGTCGTATATGAAACCAAACTATTGCCTAAAACATCTAGGGGGTAAATTAATTGAAGTTTGGAACGTTTAATCGAGACGTTTAATTGAGACGTTTAATTGAGACGTTTAATTGGGACGTATAATCCTCGTTAGTGTTTATTTAATCAGTGTTTTGATTCTCTCCTAAGTACAGACATCAACCACTTAAGTAAGGATGTTCTTAGAATTCGGAGATAAGGTGTTCAGTCTTGTTACCACTATACCACCACACGATACCCGTCACCCACCCACCCACCCACCCACCCACCCACCCACCCACACATATGGGAGTTTGTTTGTATACGTGTGAGTGTGTGTTGGGAGAGGGATGGAATGAGTGGGGCAATGGAATGGGTTGAGTGGGGTAATGGAATGGGATAAGTGGGGTAATCGAATGGGATGAGTCGGGTAATGGGATGGGATGATGATGCAAATTAAGAAGAAAAAATGTGTGGAACAGCTCAAATGATGATGATGGGAGGAAGAAAGAAAGAAAGAGAGAAAGAGAGAGTGAGAGAGATTAAACGAGGAGACTTCTTGAATTGCATGTACCCAAATTGCTCATGTTGCATGGTAAGTAAGTGCATGGTGTATTGTTACCATGATAGAGGAGGAATTCCCTAACAAATTTAACTAGTAGTTCTATTTTTAACTGATAAATTCTATATTAGTTTGAAGAAGAAGAAAAAAATTGAACACCCAGTAATTAGTGTTTACCTTTTTGACTTGGCTTTGCTGCTCAGAATACATAATGATCTATATTTACTTCGTTGATTCACCTATATCAAGAAATAGTGTCTTATATATATACATATATATATATATATCTGTATATATATATATATATAAAGTTGCATCATCTCTTAAGCAAACAATATCTCCTTTCTGCTTGATTACTATAAATAGATAAACAAATAAGCAAGTTTTGTTTAGTCTGTATTCTAAATTCTTAACTGGGGAGGTGAAAAACCTAATAAGCCTCTTGAATAGTCACCAAACTCACTCCTAATGCTATTATGAGTTATCTAACGCCTCGTCCACACCCCTTCAGCCACTCCACACGTCTCCTCGCTGCTACCACCCTGAGGAACGTCCTGGGCACGCGTAACCTGGCGGAGATCCTGAGTGAAAGGGAGTCAATCTCAGCTACCATGCAGAGCTCTCTTGACGATGCGACCGATCCTTGGGGCGTCAAAGTCGAACGTGTGGAAATGTGAGTGACTTGGCCTCCTAGACTAGATAGTTAGACCTAATGAAATATTTTATTGGTATTATTTAATTGTTTACTAATTATTGAAGAGTATTGTTTGTATCTTTTGTAATCTGAATTTACTGTATTTTCCCCTATGTGACTGCTGTAATTTATGTACTCTTGTGCTTTCTGTATTTCCTGTAACCATTCTGCCTCCTGAAGCCAATGTAAGCTACTGTAATCCTTGTCTCTTTAAACCCTTTTAGTTTTGTAATTCCTGTAATTATACTGTAATAGCTGTAACCATTTAAATCCTGGAGCCATAATGAATCTCTGTGAGTACTGTAATCTTCGTAATTTAATCCTCTTGTGAGTCGGTATTAACTTTTATATCTCTGTAATCATTCTGTTCCTTCCCTCTGTGGTCACTGTAACCTGTAATCAAACTGTATCTTTTTCAATGATCACTGTTACCTGTAATGAAACTGTACCTTCCTCTTGTGGTCACTGTAATCTGTAATCACAACGTAACTTCCTTCAGTGAGCACTGTAAACTGTAATGAGACTGTACCTTCCTCTTGTGGTCACTGTGACCTGTAATCACACTACTTTCCTCAATGATGACTGTAACCTGTAATCAAACTACTTTCCTCTTGGGATCACTGTAACAACCTGTACCTTCCTTAATGATGACTGTAACCTGTAATGACCCTGTGGCCGCCCTAATGATCACTGTAACAGCTGTAATAATCTTGCAGCAAGGACGTGCGTCTGCCGGTACAGCTGCAGCGAGCCATGGCAGCTGAAGCCGAGGCAGCGCGAGAAGCCCGAGCCAAGGTGATCGCTGCTGAAGGAGAGCAACGAGCCTCCCGGGCCCTGAAGGAGGCTGCCGATGTGATCAACGAAAGTCCTGCTGCCCTTCAGGTAAGCTAGTCCCACCCTCACTCCCTATCCCTCCTCCTCCTCCTCCCTATAGCCCCCTTAAAACACTCCCCCCCCCTTGAGTTTTCTATCAACACGGCCCTCTCTCTCCCTCCCTCATATCCACCCCTACTTTGTCCCTCCCCCCCGCCCCCCCTCCTCTCTCTCCCTCCTCGTAAATCAATGTTAAGGTACCAGATCCTATGTGACGTCAACCCCAGGTGGCCTTCATGCTCACACTGACAGGAGACGCCTGGTACTGTGTGTGTGTACCCCGACTCCTTCACACCAGTGCATCCTCAAACGCTACGTCTCGCCTCAGTCAACAATATGTGTACACACTAGGAGTTGTTAGTGTGTGTGTGGTCAGTTGATGTAGGAGTATGGTCATGTGTTAGCTCCATACGCCAGGATATATAGTGGCATGTCTGCTTATTTTCATTAGCCATTAGTCACTTATGTACACAACTTGCTGTAGAGGCTAATTAAGACTAACTACCCAATGAATCATTAAGTCATAATTATTCAAAGATCATTTAAAAACACTAATATAAAACGGTATAAAATATCGTTTAAATATGTATATTAAAGGTTTTCAGTTAACTAAATTATTACGTCAGATCATTAAATAAAACAGTAAATAATCTGGTGTGAGAGACGGAATGGTGTTGAGGAAGAAGCGTGAAGGAGGGCCATGATGCCAACCTCCCCAGTGTGAGCTCTGTGGCCACCTGTATGTCCACGTCTCTGGCCACCTGTCGCCTCGTAATACTTTTTGTTTCCATTCTCATGGCTTTTTGCTTCTGTCTCTTAGAGTGGGCTATGACGCCCGCCTGCGTGTTCTAGTTTATATATACAGTATATATATCCCTCCCCCAACCCTTCTGTGTGTGTGTGTGTACCCATGTGCGAGTTGTTTTGGAGTGGTAGGGGTTTTACAGGTACCCCTCAACATCGTGTAAGACGCGGCTGGAGGTAAGGGGAGAGAGTCCGTGGGGGCGAAGAGCTTTACTCACGTCGCGAAGGAGAGGCGCATCAGCCATCTCCTCCCCGTTTCTGCCACAACAAACTTGATCGTTAAAGCTCGGTGGGGGTCGGAGCTATTCCCGGCTAAATAGCAGAGAGAAAAATGCTCAAATATTCACAGATGATCTTTTTGTCAGTATAAAAGAGGTTTAATTTGTGAGATCTCGAAGGCTTTTGCTGACAAGGGGAAGGTAGGGGCGACTGACCAGAGAGCAACAGAGTCAGCAAGGAGGTCAACTTGAGGGTAACGAAGGTATTCATAGCGTGAGTTGACCTGACTGTGGGCAGGCAAGGGGGAGAGGTTCCCTATACCAGCACTCAGGAGACAGTGAGAGTACAAGAGTTCTTAGGGTTGGGATTATTAACTTTTTGAGTACTACGACGACTTAACCCCTTGAGTACGACGACTTAACCCCTTGAGTACGACGACTTAACCCCTTGGATACGATGACTTAACCCCTTGAGTACGACGACTTAACCCCTTGGATACGATGACTTAACCCCTTGGATACGATGACTTAACCCCTTGAGTACGACGACTTAACCCCTTGAGTACGACGACTTAACCCCTTGGATACGATGATTTAACCCCTTGAGTACGACGACTTAACCGATGGCCAACCCCTTGGATACGATGACAACCCCAGGTACGACGACTTAACCCCGCGGATACCATGACAACCCTTGGTACGACGACTTAACGCCCTACGATGACGATGCGATGACCCCTTGAGTGTGACTACGATGACTTGCAGGTACGACGACTTAACCCCTTGAGTACGACGACTTAACCCCTTGGATACGATGATTTAACCCCTTGAGTACGACGACTTAACCCCTTGGATACGATGACTTAACCCCTTGAGTACGACGACTTAACCCCTTGGATACGACGACTTAACCCCTTGAGTACGACGACTTAACCCCTTGGATACGATGACTTAACCCCTTAGATACAATGTTTACCATTAAGCAAGGGCTAAACATATGATCCCGTTTTCTTGTATGGGAAGAAAACGTACCTTAGTAAACTGTTAAGGATAACTAGTGTAAACAAGCTTATGTAGGTCGTGTTTGTTGTCTTTAGTTTATCATTGTCATTGTTGTTGTTTTTATTTACAGTTTTGAAGGAAATAATAGAAGTAACCTTTTATTTTTTTATTTTTACTATTATTAGTATTTTTATATTTTTAATTGTATTGATATCATTAACGTGTGGAGAAAGGAGGTGTGACAGCTGAGTGGGTACAAAAGTCATATTTTTACCTAAGTTACACTGGTTCGAGTCCCAGGCAATACCTAATTGTCCCAGGTGTAAGTGTTCCTACCTGCCTTTACACTTGAGGAAATGAAGGGAGTCAAGTACAGTGTTGGCCACGCTGTCTCCTTGTGTACTGAAGGCATAGTGTTCTCTCTGTGTTGTTGTTGTTGTTGTTGTACGAGATGTTGTTTATTTGGAGAAGATGTTGACAAACAGACTAACTCAATAATGTTCTTTGGGTAATTAATCCCCGCCACTTGCCTATAAATCAGACAGCCGTATTTGTTTGAGTCTGATATCATGAACACGATAACTCAAATGACACAAGATTTATAACCAATCTTGATATGTAGAAATAGCACAAAATTATCCCAGACTACAGTGTTATTTAGTAATTTGTATCAGTATTTTGTAGTGTTGTGACCCAGAGAAGGTGGTGGGGGAGGGGGGAGACTTACTACTTTTTATGGCAATTTTTTTTTTTTTTAATTTTGTGTTGGAATTTAGGAATCAAATATTTACGGTGGTAATATTGAGATGTGTGTTGGTGTAGAGATCTGTTTGTCCTGTTGGTCTTGAGATGTGTTTCATGGTGTGTTAGTTACTGTGCTGAGATAGTTATACACTGAGACTCTACCTTAACTAGATACGTTCACTTGGCACCAGTTAGATAATAATAATAATAATAATAATAATAATAATAATAATAATAATAATAATAATAATAATAATAATAAACATTCACAGATAAAAAATAAAGTTACTCCTCTCATATGAAAACAAATTTACCTTCATTTATAGAAAATAGTTAACTTCTATCATTCTTTCAAAACAATTTCATTCAATTTCTATTAATAAATACATTAAACCACAACACATTAATACTAAGTAAACTACATCAAATTACGGTATAGTCTTTGGCCAATTTGGACGCCATTTTGGTCACTGTATTGTGGTCTTTGGTTCTTAAGGTAACTAACATGGAGTCAGTTGCTTCAGCTAAGGGGATATTTTATCTTAGGAAGGTTTAAGAATATGGCCTTGGGATACGGTATTGCTTTTAAGGTATTAGGGTGGGTGTGTGTGGGGGGATGTGGGTGTGTGAGTGTGTGTGGGATATGGATGTATGTGTGGGGGGGAGTGTTTTGTGTGTGGTTGGATGTGTGTGTGTGTGTGTGTGTGTGTGTGTGTGTGTGTGTGTGTGTGTGTGTGTGTGTAAAGAAGACTATTATATCATGTCTATGGGCCCACTCGTGAAAGTAGATCTCACAGGCGTGGCGGATATAGCGTACTGCACACTAACCCACCAGTACACCAGGAGGCAGCAGGAATACATCACTTACCTCCTGTCCTTCCACACCCCGTAGTCCACCCAACTGGGAATCGGTACCTGACAGTTCAGTGTGGGAAATGAAGTCACTCAAGTGCCTCCTGGTATACTAAGGACTTGGTTAAGTGTGTTGCACTGACTGAAACTCAAGCGGACTTTCAGGCATGCAAGACTGACCTTCGCTCTCTCGGACGTAACTACCACTGTCATGCCAACCTAACCTAACCTAACCTGAATTTAAACTTGTATATAAATTCAGGTGTGTTGGGGCAATTTATATTATTTCTCAATGTATCTGAATTGATATAGATGTTTATAAAAGGTCGATTTAGGTGTGTAAAAATTAAAAAATTACACGATGTTGATTTTTAGGACTGAAGAGGAGTTCTGAGCGTCCTCCTTACACACACACACATACACTCTGTTAAAATAAATACTTAATATACGATCTTATAAGAATCCCATTAACATCTCAACATATTAATGGTTAGTTTGACTCGCTACAACATCAGAAAATTCAATTGTTTTTTTTAATTTACTCGATATTTTAGGACCTGAAATAATTTGATTATAGAATATCCAAAAATTTAAAAGACAAAATTGGCAGTGAATTTATCATTGTAGTAGCTTAGCTTAATCTCCAACTAGCAATCACCCTAGTATGAATTTGAACACTTACTGAGGACTCAAAGTGATGGGTTGCACATGATAGGTGTATATTTCCAGAAGCTATTAAGTGCTATTAAGTAAAGAAAATTTTTCACTTTTTATTTGGTATTTAGAGTTATGTTAGGTTAGGTGATTTCACTTAACTCTATAGTAATTTGCATATCATTGTAACATAAAGGCGTTGAAATTGCATGCATTGTACAGACACTTCCTCACTACATCACTCCATAAGCCAACAACAGCCCACCTTATTGGCTTTTTACACCATACTAGACTTAAGAATGATTTAAACACCAATATCTTCAATAAATTACAAAACAAAGATCACAAACTACATAAGCTTCCACTGTAAAAGATCACGGGGGGAAAAATAAAATCTGGGGTAATAACGTGGAAAATTTTGAGGAAAAAATATTCAGATTCAAAATTAATATTCCTTGGTTTTATATCATTTTAATGTGGCTTGAGGTAGCGAGTGTTGTGTATCGATCCAATTTGTGTATATTTAGTGTCTCTTCGGATGATTTTTTTTTTGGGGGGGGCTCATCAAGCATCAGGCAGAAAATTATCTTTTCCTTTAATATGATGTAAAGTTCGGGTAACTCTACGTAATCACAGTATAGTTAGAGTGTGGGATAACTGAGATAACTTTATGCCAGTATAGTTAGATTGTGGGGTAACTGAGGTAACTTTACTTAATGGCGGTATAGTTAGATT